TCGGGCCCGAAAGCGGCCGCTGTAAGCCGAGCGTACAGTGTTCTAGCTCCGTGTAAGTGTGAGTAATTTTTACACAAACGTGCGTATGTGTCTGTTTGGTACACGCGCGATCTGGGTCAGTGAGTCACGCGCACGATTGCGGTAGGGCGTGCAGCGGTAGCTACGTTAACGACGGCGACGGCAACAGCGGCGCTCCACCGGTAGCGGCTGCGGCGGTGGCGACGACGGCGACTACGGATTTGTTTTGCCTAGTTTTTTTTCCCACCGTCCTTCGTCGGTTAATACGATCGTAACGATCAACGAGCGCGGACTAACCGCAACGCCAATCTATAATACCTAGTACATATACTAATATATAAACACAATATTATTGTTTCATAACACGTCACGTCGATTGTCTGCTCGCGATGACCAGCGTTTCGGAAATCCTGTCGTACGACAAGTCGTCGGCCCAAGACGACTACTACCAAATGTTGGGATGCGACCAGACGTCCACGGTGAGCCGATTGCGTTTGTTATATTTTGATATTATAATATTCATTAATTCACTTCGAAAGCGCGACAAAAATAAATAGTTCGTAAGATTGTTCTATGAGATAAAGCGAGGATGCTTGCGATTGTTGACAATGTTGTCAGTATCATATTATTATTCTCTTTAATAGGCATAATAATAGTGTGTATGTGTATAAGTGTATCACCCAGCATAATATCTAGTCTAGTAGGTACTTATCAAGTGTGTACTCGTGCCACGCGGTATACTGACCGTGCACTTTTTTTCAGCTTAAGAATTACTATTTTATCACCATAATACACCACCGCCGGGTGTAGTGATGATGCACAATATAGCGTGCAGAGTTACAGGCAGGGTATAAAAACCGTCTCGAGTGCGGCTTGCGTGCTTGTTAAAATATATTGTTATTATTATAACATCTCGTCAGTCGTCACTATACTGATTTTTCGCACCAGGGGTGATTTACGATTGCAAAGCACATTAACACGCCATATGATTTATGTATACAGGGTGATTCATCATGGATGCTCAACCCCTTTTATCCTTGAATAATTTGTTTAATTTTTAGGTACTTTTAAAGAACAAATTATTTTTAAATATACTTAGATTTGTTATACCATTTAATACTTAAGTAGTATCCTGTGGTGGGTACAGTTCTTTTTTAAATGAATCTATATTTTTTTTGTTATTTATTGATACCTCATCAAATGATTCATTAAAATGTTGAAGATTCCAAATCGAAATCTGAAATTATAAGTTATTTAACTTTATGTCGGTACTAAGGATAATAATAATCTTTATTAATAATGGTTCTACATAGAATAATATAATATGTAATATTTGTCTAGTATACGTATACATATTAATATTACACTTGGACAATTTAATTATACCAATTTATATTAATTATTGCTATAATTTTCAAATCATATTTTAAACCCCCATATCATTTTCTAAACCTATATTATCATTGACTATTATCCTTAGTATACTTGGTTAAAATCATTGTTAAAATAATAAAATCATCTCCTTATGTTTTGATAAAAATTCAAGACTTCAGAATTTGAATAAATGCATTATTAATGGATTAAGGAGAGATTGTGAACATGGTTGGTGAATCTCCCTGTATATATAATATATTTATACATACACTTAGGAAGACATTATCGTGGCCTTAAATTATTATGTATGCTCAATGGTAAGCGGACGATACCTTGCTAAAGGATGGGAAAAAGGTCGTAAGGATTTATACAAAGGCCTGTCATAGCTGCGCGTACGTGTGTGCATGTGTGTGCGTGAGCGCCCACCAGCACACCGTGGTACCTTAGCAGAGGTGGCAGCGAATTCAAATGAAACAGTATTATTATTTGATCACCGATTTCAGTATACGTATAATATGACATTATTACTCAAGTTTAGGTAAGTATAAAAATACATGAGTGATTGAAATACCAAAAATTATAATGATAATAATTATAAATAATAATACAATTAATTAATACAACTATAGGTAAATTATAATATAAAAACATTATGTACAATATACTTGAGCGAATAGGTACCCAAGGTATTGGCTTAAATCGAATTCAAATTGAGCATCATTGGGATAAAATGACGCGACACACTAATCCGTTCACTCCACAGTGTTTTTAATGGAACCATAACAAGTGCGACCAGGGTCACTACTATAATATTATCAGCTTATAATTTATGTATATATGATATAATTAATAGTATATGGGACGTGTATGTTATTGTGCGTAGACACAGGTTATAATGAAAATATTATAGTCATATAGTTCATATAATGTATGGTATGTGGTATAGCACTATGGCCGAACAGGTAATTTCGTCGCGTATCGTTTATTTTCGAGTCAAAACAGTCCACACAAGTACACAACATGACATGCATTTCGTATATACATGTATATGTTATTTCGTAATTAAAGCGAATGTCGTTATACGAAATTATAATACATGCGACCAACATACGGGTGTATACCTACACTAGATTAAAACGTCACCTCGACAATTAAATTTTTCTGATGGATATTATTTGTTTTTTTAATTAATATTTGTCAAACTAATAATAATTGAACCTTCGATGCAAGTCGATCAAACAAATGAAACATATTTTTTTTAAATATAAACGTTAACATTTCTCAAAGGTATGCCAACATGCACAACATTTTAAACATTTTAATATTAATTCGATCATAACTGCTGCACTCTCGGCTACTTTTGTAATGTAAATGTTAAGTACCTATTCAAATATAATATTATATCATTAAGTATTATGTAATATGCACATTGCACATTGTACATAACCTGCAAAAATTACGGATATTGTATTATTTTTCATTTTATATATTTCAGTTGTTTTACATTTTTTTTATTTATCATTCACTTTTCATTTTTGAATAGAAAAAAATGTACAATTTCGTCGATTTCATTTTCATCGAACCTTATAAATAACATACATATTTTACTAAGTACATTTATCAAAACAACACGTAAGAAAAATAATATGTACAACTATTTTTCCAAGGTCCACTATTAAAATTGTACAAATTAATATCTTCTACAAGGTCTTATCTGTTGAATGATTTAGCTGATTTCGAAATATATACAGTACCCAAAATGTTACTTTCACCTAATGAAGTTTCAGTAATTCGAATATAATATAACAATATATTCTATTGTAGTTACTATTATGCTTGATAATAGATGTATAATAGAGACGATTAAATTATAACGACTATATAACCGTATTTATAATATAATAAAATATTAAAATATGCTTGAATGCACGATAATATTAAAACGTCATAATAATGTGTATAGTGTGTGGTAGTGTTTATTAATGGCGATTATATAGCGTAAAATAGTTTATAATTCTAAATTTCGATTATTTTTTACCAGTCAATGTTCAAAAAAAAACCATGTTACCTATAATAGCATAATTCAATTTTAAGCCACTTTCAAGTTACAAATATAATAATAATACTTATCAATGATAATCAATTCATTACATTTAAACTTTTTTCAGAAGGTAGTATGATTAACAGTATGATAATATATCATCTGATCTATCATATATAATATGATCATACTGTTAATTATACTTTATACCTTCTGAAAAAGTTTAAATGTATTTTAAGTAGGTATTATACCATCAAATATTTATAAGAGTAAGTATTTTCTTAAACAGTAATGAATTGATACAGTTCTTTAGCCGAAATTTATAAATTAGTTCTAAATACACTAAATAACGTCTATAGACTATAACATCTATTGTAATATGATATAATAATATTTGCTAGATGGCTAGATAATATAGTAAATAGACAAATATGAAAAAGTCTGTATATAGGTAATATATTATAGCTTATTGGGTACATTAAATTTTATCATTAGAGGTTTCCTTTTTGTACTACTGCAGTTATATAGGTACGTAATAAAAAATATTAAAAACTTTAAATAATATTGCAATATCTGCAAATGTTAAATGTTTGAAATTCATTTCTACCGTGCTCCAGAGTCAAGAAACATAATTATTTCACAAATATTTAAAAGCGCATTAGAGGTTTGAGATCCGCTTACAACGATATACCTAATTCCCACTATATACGGTCAGACCACATAATCCAGTAGCAGACGAAAACGTTTTGTACAAAATGGCCCTATACCAGACATTCACATATTATACACTACCGAAAATGAAAGTGTAATGTAAATGTTTATTTATATTCTCAAAATGTAAACAAAATTATCCAAGTAAAAATTTTAATGTTTATACTTATAGTATGTAGGCCAGGGCGTGCTCAGGGGGGCGGGGGGTTGAGGGTTTCATTCTCCCCTTTGGTTTATTTTTGTCATATAAAATATATGATAAAGCAGTGCATATATATATAACGTGGTCCGAAAGTGGTCGAAAATTCATATCTCCCCTTCCAAAAAATCTGATTGCGTCACTGATGTAAGTTTATGGTAGGTATATTTGTTGTATTATGTATAATATGTATATCCCAGACTGCAATTTTTTGTCAAAAATATTATTTTAAATTTATAATATTTTACTGAAATAATTCTTAAAAATATATATTAAATACCTTAAATAGCTGCCTACAATAAATATATATACATTTTCAAGATAATTATATAATATTAAGACTACTGGAGCAAATTACTACCTACGAATTTTTAACTTGTTGAATAGTTGGAGCTTTCCGAAGAAGAAGTAACAGGACTCGACAATTGTATTGTCGATGTAATAATATTTTTGTAGATTAAATCCAACAGTGATTATTCATTAACATAATTATAATATTATAGTAAAACCAATAGCATTTATTTTAAATTAGAATAACCCAATCTCGTCGTGTAGTTTAATTCACACACGATTAATATTATTATACATAATCAGTCTACCACATATGACATAATCATATACCTATATCTACTTTGTTTACAAAAAATGTCAATACATTGTGTTATAAATTACTCTAGTAGTATCATGGTATGATAAATTTATTTTTACTAGTATGCAATTATGTAATACATTGTTCATTGTAGGTACTTTTAATATAATTTATTATATTATTCAAACATTGTAATATTGAAATGTAATAATAATTTATTTATATTTAAAACGTGAATCGTCACGTCAGTGAAATTAATTGAGGTATAATTAAATACTCGTACAACTGTAATACAATTAAAAAATGATTTAATCAAAGTTGAATAACTAATGATAATATAATTTATTTTTAAATACATCTATAATTTATTTATTTTTACTTAACGGTATTAGGTACACTATTCACACAATAAGTCAATAAACTTCATATTTTCTAACATTTATTATTTGTTATACCTTAATTCAAATTGTTTATAGGTATACTGCTTACATTTATATCTTTTTTGTATGGTCCAAATCCAAAATGAATTCAACCTGTTTGCTAAGTACTTAAAGGTACTTGCTTAATTTTTGATACGAAATAAACAATCTATTATACGATTGCTGAAAAACATTGAAACCTATACCTGCATTGTACACTTGTACCTTTACTCAAATCTAAAATTAATTGGTCGGGTATATCTAATATCATTAGTTATAAATACTAGTAATTTTAATCAATACTAACATGTAGGTAGGTAATAACCAAAGGTAGGTACCAAAGCCAAGTACTAGTAGATTATTGAAATAATATTATGAAACAACTTTAATGTAAAATACATATTATTGATTTCAAATATTATCTACATAATATTATTATGATTTACGAAAAAGTTGTAAACTTAATACTTATATAGGTAATTTATACTTTCTAAATAAAAAAAGTGCAGTAGTTGTTAAGTAAAATGAATTTTATTATATAATGAGTGTGGACGTGGCCTGCTACTGTAAGTCCTTTCTTGTATATCCAGCCATAAATCTACATAACTACTCAGGTATAATTTATTTTATTATATTTAGAACTTGAGCAATTGATACATATAGGTGATATTCATCGTTGCTTTATCGTTTATTTTAAAGTAACAAACATTTTAAAGCCAGTTGTCTATTCCTAAAAAAAATATTTACAGTTACTAGCTATTTATATAGTTTTCTTGTTTTATTTTTTTATCTTACCTATGTTAATTTATCCATAAATTAACCCATGTTATATTCAATAACATTTGAAGTTTTTTTTGTTTTTACAATGCACACTGTATTCCATGGGGATGGGACTATAATAAAATGAAAGTGGCCCTCGGCATCAAAAGGTTTAAGACCCAAGGGTTTTACTGTATACTTAGTAGAAACTTGCATACATTTTTATTTACATAATGTATCATACATTCAATATTAAAATAAATTATCATATTTGTCTCCGAATTAGAACAAAAAAGTTCTACAAATGTGTAGTAATTTAGTCTTAAATATAATAACACGTAGGTACTTAACAGCTACGAATACGTATATCAGTGGCATTTTTTTTTTTTAATTACGAAATACATTGCTATACAATTATAGGCACTTATTACAGCTAATATATGTTTTAAAAATTAAATAATATTGGTACTTAACTTCCTACTTAAGGTCTAATTTAAATAAATAACACCCTTGAACTTGATTCAATTTATTGAAATCCGAAGAATTTCAATTATTATATTATGTTTGTAGGTTGACAAAATAATTTACTTTAAAGTCAACGATGTATGAAGATGTTTGCATACAAATATTTTGCATACAAATAATTTCAATGGAATATTATATTATATTTTTTTTCAATGAATGAAATATTGAAGTATCATAAAATACACGAAAGACTTATGAGGTGCGACACCTGTTGCTCATTCATCAAATGCGTAAAGCATCTTTAGTATTTTATTCAAAAACGGCTTGCTTTCCGAGCGCTTTCATCTTTGAGTGGACAAACTGCAACCCGTTGAAGCTATTTATGTACTTACAAAATGCAAAAGGTAAAGCCATTCGCTTTTCAAGTACAGTAGAATATATACACATAACCTACACCAAAGGATTTGACAAAACACATTAGGTATAATGTTGGCTCGACATAATAAACAGTTGAACGCGCTACTGAAAACAGTATACAATTGAACCTTAACAGTTAACAAAACTCAGTATTATTGCATGCACAATACACGCAGGTACACACTGAACTACACTATAATAGTAATTATGTATAATGCTGTGTGTCAATGCGAGATAATACGATTTAGGCCTCTGAAAATAGACAAAGACCATCATAATGTAGAGGTACACAATGCACGTAACTTCGCCGGTATAGGTATATAAGACTCGCAGATACGTGTGTTGTAGTCTTCTTACTAACCTAATAAGGTACATTGTTATAATTTAATAAAAGGCAAGTGCCTATATGGACCAGTATCTACGGGGTGGGTGGACGGATGCAGTTTGCATGTTTTGTTAAAACGCCGACAATAATTATATTGTTTTCTATGTATCGTTGGATGTTAAATTCAATTAAACCAAAAGCCTTTATTATACATAATAGATATGTAAAATATAAGGTACATGTATGTTTATTATTCGATAATGTTTTATAACTAAAGCGGTAACAATTTACGCAACGTTATCAGTTATAGATACCTTCATATTTTACTCTGCCGACCCTGCTATTATTACTGAAATGCGGCTCATATTATTAATATTATTATTGATTGGAAAAATAGCAAGCGAAATATTTTCCGCTTTGTGGTCATTTTCTCTAAACTCGGTAGTCACTAGCCATGTATAATATACTATCACGGCAACTTCAAACAAATGTATGGCTATATATAAGTAATATATATATTATACAACTGAAAGGTTGCAAAAAGCAACACCTGATACGGTCCCACAATTAAATTATTTACGCTGAAAGCATTATTAATTACGGTTGGTAAATTAAATTATAGGACGACCGATATGTGTGTTCTGGGTTTTCGACTAAAAAAAAAAGATGAAATCCAAAAACCGGTGGAAAAAAAAACAATAAAATTGAGAAAATGTATAGATTAAACGAATAATATTTTAGCTGATTTAGTTTTCATTAGGTACCTTTGTATATAAACGCTATATTACGATTTACGGTTAATGTATACGTAAAACATTTTGTTAAATAGGTGGAACAAATAAGCACAGAATTCAAAGTAAGAGCTCTTAAGTATCATCCCGATAAAAACTCCGGTGACAAGAAGGCGGAAGAAACGTTCCAGAAACTTAATGTAAGCAATAACGGGCGTTCGCGCCTCGTTTGATACGTAGGTACTTAATATTATTACCTACTATATTTTTTATTATTATTATCGCCTCCGAATGATATATTCGTGTGCGTTGTAGGAAGCTAAAGAAACGCTGTGCGACCCGGAAAAGCGGGCAACTTACGACAAATGGAAGAACAGCGGCGTGGCCGTTAGCTATAAAACGTGGCTGAGCAACAAAGAACATTTCCAACAAGTACGGACTGTGAATTACATACAATATACATGTACCAGTTGTAATAGTGTATCCGTTCGTGTTAAACTCGTGTAAATTCGAGACATTAATAACAATACAGAGATCGAGCGTCCATAAATATATATAGCCATATAGGGCGTCGATTTTATTTTGTTTTACCTCGCGCGCGTTACAGCTCAATAAAATACGAAGTACTGAGTTATATACGAAGGATAAGGAACCTACTGCTGTAGCCCTTTGTAACAAAAAAATACCGTATATACTATACCAAAATAATTATCTTTTTAGGTACTTTTGCTTCAAATCCAAAGAATAGCCTTCGCGAATGTTACTGTCGTTGATTATATTAAAATTCAGCTATTTTTTAAGTTAAATAATCGTTATGTCATTATTTAACCATTATGTATTAGAACGAGTTTTTAGATGTTTTCCAAATTTCCAATTACATTTACCTGGCAAAAATAAAATATCGTTTCATTAATTTCACGTTCTATAATATTATCTCTATATATAATCATGTAAAACATATTCGGGACGTAAATCGGCGTTCTTTTTTTTGTCCGATCAAGCATGTTAAACAAAAAAAAAACGTGAGGGCCATATTATTTCAGTAAACCTCGTCCTCGGGTTATTTCCGTGCGAGAGGTAGTAATTTCGATGTAATACGTTTTTAAATCGGGAACTGTGGGGAAATTATGCTTCCGCGCACTCGATCCATTAATAAACTCCTGCAGCGGTCCTCACACCCTGTGGATATAACATTGACTTTTCGATAAAACAATAAACTTAATCTGGTAACTGATGAAATTGGTACCTATGCTGACATCTATAAAGGTTTTGTAGGAACTTTTCATTAAAATATAGGTGTTTTATTCAGTTTCGTGATTACCTTTGTTCAAACCAGCTCAACAGTAGTTTCCATTATGACCCAATATGATAGGCAAATATTACTACATAATACATATTTAGATACCTTTCCATCTTTGAAATCTTTGAAATAAATATCTTCCATATACGTGTTAATCGCGTGAAAGTTCCTTAATCTACTATTTTATTTCTTAATTATTAATCATATAGGAGCACACCATTGTAGCCAAAATTCTAAATATATTCACATTGGTAACGAAAAAAATAGCCAATTACTTGAAACTAAAGCACTCCTCCCCTTCTAATAATGTTTAACTGCAGCAATGAAGAATATAATATTATAATAATTGATTTTTTTTTCAGTCTATGCACTGGGCACAAATGAACACTAAAGATAGAATGCTTCCGGAAGGTGGTGAAGGGGCTTCGTCTTCAATGGCGTCCAGGAGAGCATCTGAAGGTGGAGTGAACTTGGGAGCCAACAAAGTAAAATGGGACGCAAAGTCTAATGCGGACATTATCAACAAGTTTCGCAATTACGAAATATAAGTTGCGTAGGTGTTATCTACGAAAAAAAAAACATTCCTTCATCAAATAAAATATACTTTTAACATGATATAATATAAATTCCAATAATTTGTACTACATACTATATTATATACATACCTATTATACTGACTCTTATAAAACACATCTTTACCCGAGGGCCTGAGAAGCAAAACACGGTAAATAATAATTATAACTGCACCTTAAAATCAACAATATTACTATTATTATTCGATTACGCTTACTTCTAATAGGGTATAAAATGAAACTTTTTAGGGTAAATTAGAGTGAATTTTCTTCTCGGACCTTCGAATTAATTGAATCTCAAGAATTTCTCTTCTAGTTATTTCTAAACATTATGATTATACTCTTCAACTATTGTCTAGTCATCAAACAGTAAATGATACGTCATAACGTTCACAATTAATTGAATGCTATTTTAAGTCGAGTACTTCGAGTAGATTATGTTACTCAAACCTAATTAATGTAGTTTGATATCAGTCTCACAAAACACAAATTAATTGTAACATCGCGCAATTCTGTGTTTCAAAGATGTAATACTAATAGGTATAATATGATAATATGTGTTATTCTGTTATTATAAAGTTAGTGTATTTCTAAAACAATTAGCTAAGACACCGTATAATACTCATATAGTATTGTGTTCTAGTTTATTGTATTGTATTGTAACGTTTACAAACCGTACCTACCTATATTTTATAAGTTATCGGTGGTCATTCTTGTGGACCAATACGACGTAGCTACGACCTTGTGCATTACTATTTATTGCGTTTACCTATTTATTATATTATAATACTAAACTTAGTATATTAATATACTTGACTGTATTGCCATTTCGGTGAGATATCGTTTCTCAAATTTGTAAAAATAAAAATATACATATTATGAATACAATACATGAATTTCGTTGTTAATAATATTATGATCCTTTCATAAAAATAGCGCGCGCGCGCGCGTGTGTGATGTGTGTGTGTGTTTATGGGTGGATGTGAGCGAGATACGAATCCGTTTTATAAAATAATGTATCGCTATGTAAATAATATTTTAATATGGGTAAATACAACTCATATCTGTATTATTATTTCAATGTTTGTAACGTTTGTGAATAAATGCTTGATTTATTATGTATGTACCAATTTACGTACAAGCAAACATTTTTCCATTGAATCACCGCTGATTGAATGGAGCAGATATACCTACGTGGCTACGTTGTACGTGGGATATGGAGTGCTTTTAAAAACTACAGTGATTACTCAGATAAATAGTTTAATTTATTTTTAACATAACATAGCTATAGTAGCACACATTTAGCTTTTTATAACACACAGTAGTTTTTCATATTCTAAGTTCTAAATAGTTAATGTTTATGAATTTAATCAACAATATTTTAAAATTGAATACCTAATGCCCTAATGCTATACCTATATGGCTATATATATATTTTAGATAAAAATGTTACCGCATGTACAAAAAATTCTAATATAATTAAAATTTGGTGAAAATTTCAACAGTTATTACTTATTAGTTTTTAAGTTATATCAAAATAATAAGATCAATTAGTTAACAAATCGGTTTTTCGTAAAAATTACAATTTTTTCGGTAAGTGATGGAGAGTATAAAAGTACCAATATGGCATTGCACACATGTTACACTTACACGGCTGTAAGTAGGTACAACATTGCTCCCGAACTAAATATATTATTATAATTGTAGTACCGGTTTCAAAAACATTAAAAAACAAGTATGCTACTGACACTTTTAGGTACAGTCAGTGGTGCTGAAATCAGTAAAAAGTTGTTCAATTCTAATCAAAGCCCAAAATGTATTATTCAAACTGAAGAAAATGTTTACAACACCTAACCACACAAAGCAGCTCGCTTCGCTAGTGATAAACACATATTTTGTTAAACAATTGTGTAATTGTATTTGTATCATATTTTACTACTTCAATCTATTTTAATAATTGTCACTATTTGCATTTTTACATACATATAATATGAAAAATTATTTTCGTTCTTACCAATTTACTATATTTTACAAATTTCATAATCGTGCATGTCCTAACTGAATGATTGACCAACAAAGAATCTAAACTAAATTATGATAGCTAGAGACTTGAAATGTTCAAGTTACATTCGTATAACCATATTGTAAGGATGCCTAAGAAAAGATTTTCTGAAATTCTCATTTTTAAAAAGGTGAGAATGTCAGCATAAAGAATGAATATCAAACATTTTTGTTTATAAATGATTACCATTGGTTATACAGACTATAATAGTACCTAATAGAAGAAATTATTAAAAATGAGTACTTTTTTGTAGGTACCTACATAATGTTGGTTGTCATTGGTTACTGCTGATGAGGTGAAAGCATGCATAAAATCGTTGCATTTACGTGGCCTTGATTGAAAAAATTATATCTTGAAACCAAATGTATGTGTTTTGATTGCATATCCAAAAACTACTCTACTCATTTTAACGAAAATCCCAGAAATTGTTTTTAGAGATATTAGAAATGTTTATAGTTTACCTAGATTAGACTTTCTTGATAAATTATTGTTCTCGATCGATTTATGGGGATTATTCATTTTGAGATAATGTTCGCTTTGGTGTTTTGCTGGATACTAGAAGAGTATAAGTGATTTAAAGAGCCACAGGCTATTATTTATTAATATGGCAATAGTGTAATACTGTACCTAATAATGCGTGATAAGTGATACGCGTAACCTGTAACTGCGAAGTACCTATACTATATAGTATAGATACATTTTGTTTTTTTTAGTAATATTATTAATTATCCTGGATAATTATTTTTAAATACTCACCTGACACCCACCCAAAATTTTAGGTTGTTCATATTACCACCTTAAGTGCATAGCGCTGGGTCAGTACTGGACAAGGCATTTCCGGCAGAGACAAAGCGTAAGTATTAGATAAGTGTGAGTGTACACAGTACTACTGCAGTATTATACGATCGATCAAGTCAGTTCTGCGATACCAGATGATAAATGCAGCTATATGCCAATAACTGAATATAATATGACGGCGTCAAAAATATTTGGAGTCCAAAATCATCATTGTTATAACCTAGTATCCCTTTTTTTTTATTGATCTTTAAAAAATACAACTCGGCAGCATAGGCCATTAGTTAACAATTCTTACTTACTACTTATATTATAAAACATTAAGTTCGTATAATATGTACAATTATATTTGGTTCATTAAATTGGTTAATTTTAGAAATTGCAGCGTTTTTTTGATCTGGTCTGGTTCTGGGCCGAGAGTTGCGTCGAGGGTATCGGTCAAGTTGAGGTCCGTTCGCTCCTGATCATACATATGGCATTCTGTCAGGATATGTTTTACGGTGAGGCGTTGACCACAGGCTTCGCAGCAGGGGGGTTCCTCGTGGGACATGAGATATCCGTGCGTAAGTCGGGTATGTCCGATTCTTAAGCGATTTAAAGCGGTTTCGTCTTTTCTATTAGGTAGTATCCCTTTATCTTTTTTTTTCTTTGAGGCATCACTAAACTGGAGCTGAACTGTTATTACGCATGGTTTAACCCTCATGCAGCATCGTTTATTAAAAATCAATAATTTGTACAACTTTGATATACCTACCTTCATAGGCCGGGATATATTTTCCTCTGAGACGCTGGTATATGTACCTATATAGACCATAGAGTCATGAGAGCATACATTCGTTAATTATGCTTTCACCTATTATTTGCTAATACTATCTGCGAGTTTCCAAAACGTAAAAATATACAAAAATTGAGTACAAATTTAAACCTTTTCTGGGAATGGCCATCATATAGGTATGCTAGTGGTCTCAAACAAGCCGCCTGCAATCGTTCAAAAATTGTTAATATTCATTATAATTAGACGATAAATTTTAGTTTTTATTTAAACATCAGTAATATTATCAATATAATATTATTTGTCATTCGTAATGTTTTATTTTTATAATGTAATAAAAACTGTATGATATAATTCAATTCAAGATTCATCGCGTGAATCATGAACTTACTTATGTAAACAGTAAACACTATACATACTGTAGTGTAGTCTGTAGTATATTTTTTTGTAATAGGTACTTAGTACTTTATAGCAAATATAATAGCTGCAGTAATAATGAATATATATATATATATACAGTAGACGCCGCTTATAAGCTCACGGTTCAGTCGGTTATAATACTCAAATTTCGTAAAATAAATAGTAGAAAATAAACTTTTTTGGTTATAATTTAGAAATAAATTGATATTGAAAAATTAAATAATATTCGTGTTGATTATTCCTAGTTTCTGTTGGTACCTTATAACTTATAATAATTTTTATCGCAGATAAAAGTTCACATTTATCGCAACGATTATCGTTATTATAGTGAGGTATCTGATTATCTGGCGGCTGCACAGTTATCGTAATTACGGGTACATAAATACATATACGTATATACCTAAACCTAACCTTTATAATTTTTTATTAATGTATAATTTTTATAATATTCTTATATGTAATATTTACCTATTATAATTTTAGTTTTTTTTATCAGGATTATTAAATTTATTCAATAATAAAGTATGTAATATGTAATATGTGTTAAAGTATTAAAATCAAAGCAAAATATGTAGTAAAATAAAATTTATAAATACGCAATTAATTTTTTTTTCCACTTCGCCTATAAGATTCATTCGGTTATAAGACTCACTTTGTGCTGGTCCAAAAGTGAGTCTTATAAGCGGCGTCTACTGTATATATGTATACATTTGGTCTTTATTTGTTTTCTTTTGTTTTAATCATAATTTATAGAGATAAGTAACAAAAATGCATAAATATGTGGCCGGCCCTCTGGTTATTGAATTTGAGACCACTAATTAAGGATTGTTAAAAAATCCCTTTAAAAAAAAACCAATTAAGGGGACTGCAGCACGCGTATTTTTTATACGTTTTAGACCAATAAGCGGTAGTAAATTACACATACTTCGGAATGTCCGATTTAAATTATTAATACATGTATGAACTCTTTGACAAAATATCTAGGCTTTTTAGGAAGTCTATTTTTGATTTTCAATTTTAAAAGCCCTTAAAATTAAGATATTTTTTTCAAAAATCTCATGAAATATTTGCATTATATTTGTATTTATTTTGAGCATATCTGATTTTAAACCAAAAAAGTGTTTCCTAAAGAGCATAGTCTAGAAAATTATAAATTCAACCGTTTTTTTTAAATTTCCATCAAACTTCAGGAAGTGGTTTAATTTACTACCGCTTTTAGCAGTTTTTATAGTTATGCATACAAGAATATATTTCGTTTTTCGCTATGCATTGACATGTGCGTGCGCGTGTGAGAGTTGCTTCCGGCGGCTCGTGCTCGGTGCGGGAGACATCGATTCTTGGAAACAATTAGTGGATAAGGCTAGGTTCACATGGACGCGCGTACACGCGCGTTAGCCCGCCGCAAAACGCGCGTACGACCGTTCAGATAGCTGCGTTTTACACGCTTTGAATAAAGCAGTGTAAGTAAATAATAGATATCAAAGTACCTAGTTATAATAATATTTTAGTACAGTTCAGACATCCATCGAGAATGGACGTAGTAGATGCTGTGTGTTTATGGGTTGTCCACCGAAGGATAAGAAGACAAAGACAAAAAAGGGAAAGAAAATATTGGGTTCATCCAATTTTAAAAACAAGACTTTCTTTTAGTCTGTATATTACCTTGTATCCAAAACTTCGAGAACACAATGACATATTTTTTAATTATTTTAGAATGTCTATTAAATCATTTGATGATCTATTAGACATAATTAAAGATGATATAGAAGCTGATGAAAATGCAATAAGATATTGCATTTCACCAAACGAAAAACTTATCGTCACTTTAAGGTAAGTCTGTG